GAAGGCTGGCAGTTCAAACCCACCAGCCACTCCTTGGAAGGAAGATGGGGCAATCTACTTCCGTAGTGATACTGCCTCGGAAACCCAAGGAGGGGTCACTGTGTCCGACTCGACGGCACATAACAACAACAACAACATTGGCCTACAGCAAAAAAGAAAAACCAAGACAGTATGACTAGTTTTTCACAAAGCTAAGTTTGTTAAATATGACAGACTGCCAACCTTGAGCTCCTCATCCCCTGCAGCTGCATGAGTCTGGGAAAAGCCTCCATCTTGACATTTGATCCAAGAGCTTGGGACTTGACAGCTTCTATAAGTGTGTGAGCTATTTTCCTAAGATAAATTTCTCTTTCTCTATATGTATATATAAGCTTTACTGGTTTTGTTTCTCTAGAGAACCCAGTCTAACACAGAGACCAACCTCAGTTTTAAGATATTTGTATTCAGCATCAAGACTCTTTTAAGTTTTTTCTGACCTTCAAACTCATGAAGGACAAAAACCAGACCAGCAGAATTAGTTGGAAAACACAGAAGTAATGTTTTCATTGGTACATAACTAATAGTTAAATACAAGATAATAAGCTATCAGTAGCTAAATATAAAGGAGCTCTGGTGGCGTAGTACCTAAGACACTTGACTGCTAACCAGAAGGCCGGTGGTTCAAACCCACCACCCACTCCTTGGAAGGAAGGTTGGGCAATCTACTTCCGTAGTGATATCACCTCAGAAACCCAAGGAGGGGTCTCTATAAGTCAAGTCTGACTTGACAGCACATAACAGCAACAACAGCAGCTAAATATAAGAAAAGCAATTTTAGCTTACAATTTGATACTAGTAACAGCTTTTACTTATTACAGCTTTAAAAGGTAATGTTTAGGAATGGAGATTAATTTTAGGATGAAGACATCTAAATGAATATTTAAACAGCTAAAAGACTAGCCAGCTTATCTTCTTCATATATGAGCATATTTAAATAACATGAGTAGAGTTTGAAGGGAGTAGTCTTATTTTATTATATGATAAAGTGTATATTTAATTTTGTTAGAAACTGCTAAGTTGTTTCCCAAATTGGCTGTACCAATTTACGTGCACCTCAGCTAGCAGTGTATAATAGTTCTAGCTTTTCTGCATCCTCATCAAGATTTGGTATTGTCAGTATTTTTAAATTGGGCCATGTTAATAGGTGTGTAGACTTGACAGCAATGGACAGAGGTATTTCATCCATAGTTTTAAGTTTTAGTTCTTTAATGATTAATGAATAGTAGCTCTGGTGGCGCAGCACCATAGGCATTTGGCTGGTAACCAGAAAGTCCAGTGGTTAAAACCCATCAGCTGCTCTGATGAAAGAAAATGGGGCAATATACTTCTGTAAAGATTTACCACCTCGGAAACCCATTGGAGGTTACTGTGAGTTGTAACCAACTCAGTAGTGGCAGTGAGTTTGGTTTTTGGGGTGACTAATGATGTATATCTTTTCATGTGCTTATGAAGGGAGTAGTTTTAGGAGCATACTTATATTTTTGACTTTTCTTATGTGCCATGAGTCCTAGGACTCATAGTGACCCCTCCTTTGGTGTTGGAGGAGGCAGTATCACTACGGAAGTAGATTGCCCAACCTTCCTTCCGAGGAGTGGATGGTGGGTTTGAACCGCCAGCCTTCTGGTTAGCAGTCAGTTGCCTTAGGCAGCACGTTACCAGAGTTCCTACATTTGTGACTAGTGTATTATTAAAAATTTTTCATTTAGCTTTGGCATCCAGAGTATATTATAAAATGTAAATCGGATAATCGTTAAGTGTATTTTAAAGTAAAATTTTAAGAAAAATAAAATATAGCGACTTCTTGAATGACTATAACTTGGAAAGTAATTCAGAATGGTTATTTTATTTTGGCCTAAGAAAAAGTAAATTTGTAGTAGAATCATCAGTTCAAGGGTAGCTCTTCCTGTATTAGGATTACATTAATTTATCTAAAACATGGTCTTTTTCCTATCTCCAGAATATTGACTTTTGTTGTTGTGACACTTGGGGAACTATATTTAGACAAAAATATCCCATTTCTTACCTTTGCCACTCACCTTACTTCACAGAAGATAATGGTTCAGTAAAATACCTTGTGGTTTGATGTAAGCGTAACAACTTGAAGTATTGTCTTGCCAATGAAATTGTTCTGTGGCTTGTGGTCTCCAGATAAATCTAGGTATAAAGTATCTTTCTGTTTAGGAATTCCAGCCTTGTAGGAGAATTGTGATCACTCTCTTTTTTATATATATACATATATTATTTTTGTTGTTATTGTTGAAAATATATATACCAGAACATATACAAATTCAACAGTTTCTACATAAACATTTTATTGACATTGATTATATTTGAGTTGTACAGACATTCTCACCCTCCTATTTGAAGTTATTCCTTCCCTATTAATGTAAACTCACTGCCCCCTAGGTTTTCTTTCTTATCTTTTGAGTTGCTTTTGTCAGTTTGAACCCGTTAAAAAAACCAAACAAACTCACTGCCCTCGAGTCAGATCTGACTCATAGCAGCCTTTCCTTGGGTTTCCTCGGCAGTATCACTGTAGATGTAGATTACCCAATCTTCCTTCCGAAGAGAGCACAGTGCTCTTTTATTAGTTAAGCTAATACTAATAGCTAATAATACCTTTATTAAGCCAAACTATTTTTGGCTTTAAAAAGACTTCAGGGGATATTTTTGGTTTAAGGTTTAAAGATTATCTCAGGGCATTTGTTTCAGGGGTTCATCTAGCCTCCGTGGCTTCAGAAAATCTAGATTCCGTGAGAATTTGAAATTTTGTTCTGCATCTTTTGATCAAGAATATTGTACAGTTCAGTGACATTGATTACATTCTCTAAGTTGCCAACATCATTTATTGAAAAGACTCTTCTTTCCCCATTGAAATGATTTCACACCTTTGTCAAAAATTAGTTGACCACAGACATATGGGCTTATTTCTAGACTCTGAATTCTGTTCCATTGGTCTATGTGTCTGTTATTATACCAGTACCAGGCTGTTTTGATTACTATAGCTGTATAGTATGTTTTAAAATCAGGAAGTGTCTTTCATCATTTGTTGTTTGGGACCTCTTGCCATTCCATATAAAATTAAGAATTGGTTTTTCCAACAAACAAACAAAAAATCCAAAATCACTGCCACTGAGTCAATTCTGACTCATAGCGACCCCTCCTTGGGTTTCTGAGGCAGTATCTCTATGGAAGTAGGTTGCCCAGTCTTTGTGATAGATCTATAGATTGCTTTTGGTGGTATTGATATCTAATCAATATTAAGTCGTCCGATCCATGAACACATACATCTTTCCATTTATTTAACTCTT